GCAATATCAGTAGAAAAGTCCAGCATGTATTGAAATGACGACGATGAAATCCTAAACAGCCCAATTGTTTCCTGATGCACCCCACAAGCGTTTGAGTCCCATTTTTGTAAGAAAATGAATTTTTGAATAGTGCATTGAATGAAAATGTGTGGTTAAAAAATAAGAAAAAAAGTTTTGATTTTCATATAATATTATTTTATTGAAGAATGTATGATTGAAATGATGTCAAATCACTGTTGAAAAATGTATTTTGATTGAAAAATGAGGCTCAAATAAGGGCTAGATGACATCCATGAGACTGAAATTTATCCTTTCTGGGCAGCCGGTCTTGAAGGATGTGCCAAATCGTTATTCCCCAAACAGCATGGAAATATAGATATGATTCTTACAAGAAACATCTCCAGAAGTTGTGCCTTACTTAATGAATTTTTAAATTATTTAGTACAGTGCATTTAGATGTCACCATTGAGTTGTTTAACAGTGTCGGCCCTGACCATAGACGGAGTAGGCGAGTCCCCAAAAAATTATTATTTTCTATTTTTCATGTATCTTTATATATATATATATATATATATAAGGTCTCATATTTGAAATCGATCTAAGGCTCCAAAATCTAAGGGTCAGCCTTCTTGTTCAAGTAGCAATTAAGTGAATGAAATTTATTTATTTCAAGTATATTAGTTGAATTATCTTTTTTCTCAATCTTGGCAAGGTTATTGTTCTGATTAGGTCTATTAATCACCCAGTTCTTCGATGTACCACTCAGTATGGAAAATTTAAGATTGGTGACGGTTAAATATGACAAACTTGGGATTAAATATGTGAAATCTCATCACGACAAATTATTCGTATGAGAGTATAAAAGGTTCAACCTTACTACATTTGCACTCTAACTTACACCTCTCTTTACATTCTTTCACATGGCAACACTATACTCTTTATTTTGAACTCATCCATCATATCACTGCATATATTTCCTCCACATACGGCAGAATGTCAACCAAGTTATCATGCAAAATGTACATATAACATTATTAATAAAAGGTCATTGAGAGAAATGTTATTTATCAATAGTTTAATGAAGTGCGTTTACTGTCACATTCTTCAATAAAGTTAAGATGCTTTTTCTCATTGGACTATATCACAGTAATACCACTTGTCAAATAAGTGTTGGTCCTAAGAATAGCATTATTCTTACAATATAACAAAAATTAATTGCACGTGTCGTTCTCTGGGTTTCACCAAACTTAATGAGATTGACTTTCTCATTATATAGGGAGCTTTAAATACTTAGCCTCGAAATTCGAAAGGAAGGAATAATAGTAGATTGACGCTTATCTTGAAATAACAGGAAACAAATGGGCGCATACTGACCATGGGAGTGAATTTTAATGTTTGAGTGCACGGATTTCATTCTTGTAAGCTTGAAAGAGTCCCCTATATGGTGCTCCTCCAAGAAACTGACGTTTTATCTACTGATCTACATAAATAGGATGCTATCACATTGTATCGTATTATTATTATTTTTTTTTCTTTTTTCTTTTTTTAAATGGAAAGATGGATTGTGTTAACAGATGTTACTTTTGTTCCTACCACATTCACATTATTTTATAAAAGCGAGATAGAACATATTAAGGGTTAAATCATATATTGAATACAAAAGAGATAATTAATAATATAACAAAATTGGTTCCATATATTCATTATAGTTCGGGGTGGGGCCATTGGTGCCGGGTTTGACAGATTTTTTTACCATTCCTAATTGGAGACAAGTTTGTTCGCTACGTCAGCTCGATAAATTTTATTCTGTGACATGAGTATAATAACATAATTTTGATACATATAAGTGTTAGATGCAGTGTAGACAGCACTGTTCTGGCTATTACACTATATTTTTTTGACATTTCCCAATGAATAGATGCCGTGTACTATCCAGTCAAGCTGTATGTGCAAATTTGCACAATCTAGAGACAGTTCATAGATAAGATAAGGAACCTGTGTTGAAGATTTCTAAACAATCGATGAAAATGAAATGACCATACTGGCTGTTGGACTAATAGCCGTAGAGCGCTATTCTACTGTGCAGAAACGTACAAAAAAATGCAACATGTGGTATGTGTTTGGTGGAATTTTGTGTGGACACTGAATAACAAATGTTACAACAATTGAAAGGGGTTTAAATCTATAAATTACTACCTAACTTTATAATCAGTGTTATCATGATTATTCAATTTGATTTTATTTTATCATGGTCATCCAATTTCATACAACGTATTACCATAGCCACCTAATTTTATATAACATTTCACTATAGCTACCCAATTTCTTTTCACCATTTTCACTAATTTTAAAATAGGTAAAACGGTAACTTCGTATTATATATATATAATAAATTTAAAAATAATAATTTTTTAAATTTTAAAATAATTTTTTATTTTTTTTTCTAAGTAACTTTTTTTATTAAATAAATTTTTTACTTTGTTTAAAGTTTTTTTAATATTATTTTTCAGAGTAACTTTTTTTTTAATAAGTTTTTATTTTATTTTAAAAACTTTTTTTAAGTAATTTTTTTGTTTTATTTGTCTAAGTAATTTTTTCAAAATGATTTTTTATTTTATTTTATTTTTTTAAGTAAACTTTTTTTTTTATTTTTTTAAATTTATTTTATATATAAAATGCAAAGTTCCTATTTTATTCTTTTTAAAATTATTGAAAATGGTGAGGGTGTACATAGTGAAACGTTATATGAAATTGGATGATTATGATGAAATAAAATCAAATTGGATGGCCATAGTAACATTAAATATAAAGTTTGGTGGCCGTGGGGAACCAAAATCAAATTGAGTGGCTATGATTATACCAAGTATAAAGTTGAGGTGGCTATTGATGAATTTAATCCTTGCAAGGGTGATTATATGAGAAAATAGATGCGAAACAAATTGGTAAATTTCTCAAGATTTTAAAATGCATAATATGAGGCAAAGTCTTTCAGTCAAACATCAAGCATTACAAAATATGTATATTTATGCAGAGCTTATGCGTAATTATATGTTTTCCAACTTTTAATATTATTTTAAAATAATAAATAACTAAAACAATCCATTCTTTTAAATATTATATTGCTCAAAATTATAAATACTACAGTTACTTAAACTTTATACATATTTATCCCATATCTCAAAACGGAAGAAGCAAACTGATTGTATAGGTCGACACCATGTCTCAATCTAAAAAGTAGTTCCTCTACAGATGGTTGGTTGCTCACGGCCTAGCTGTACCTACTGTCTTTTTTTTGGGGGTCAATATTATCAATGCAGTTCATCCAACAATAAACCTAATCCGAATTATAGAGTTATGACATAATCAAACTCGAACAAACAAAATATTGAAGTAGGAACTTGAGTCAGGAGTAGATCTGTTTGTTTTGGGATTTTCTAGAATTTACAAGCGAGAACTCCTTTTTTCATTTGGTGTACCTACTTAAATCGGATGAAAGAAAAATGTTGCTGACATAAATACATCTCTTCCCATGTCTTTAGCTATAACCCTTGAGGGTTTGCCCATTCTTTCTACATAAACCCTTGTGAGGGTTTTGCATATGTGGGAATCAATAAGGATCACCTTGCAAAGCTAAATGCTCATGGGTGACCGATAGTGAAGTAGTATTATGAGAATGCTTATTGAATGAGCAATTTAATAACAGAGTTCAGATCGATTGTTATTGATTACTTGGTAATCAATTCTTACAATTAGATTAAACATGAATATCGGCTTAAGAAATCCTAGATGTCGTTTAACTCTGTATAGTATTTCAATTCAAACTTCCCTTCGTACAAGTTTTCTTTCATATCATCTGATGTAAAATCATCTTTATCATACTCCCTTATTTTAACTCGAGAATTTCATTTATCTATTGCAAGTAGTAGGATATCATTACTAACATCCTCCTCATGATCACAATCATTGATAATTCAAGATTGTTCATTAATAGACTTGCTAGTAAAATTAGGGAAAGTTCGGAGAGGAAGGAAGCTAGGGCTCGGCGTAAATAGAATGCAACTCTACGAAATTTGTTTTGATTTTTGATTTTTGATTTTTTCAAATATCAAAACCCCATGGATTACTGTATATAATTCATGGGTTTGAGTGATTTGGATTAATTTGATGTTTGTTGGGCTCAATTTACATTTTTTTTAAGTTATAAAAATGGGCTAAACTTTGTTATGCTAATTTTAAACAATTTTTAACACAAACGCATGTGCATTTTGACTTTTAGACGTGAATATGCGATCAACGAAATGGATCGACTGTATTATCATGCACATACCATATATGTGATGCGTCTTCGCGTTTTGAAAATGCATCGAGCATATGCATGTATATGCAATACTTATGTGCGCATTTTAGATATTTCCATTCATATATTCTATTTTTCAATTAGTACACCTTTTTTGTTTTCTTCGTCCACCTCCCAAACTCTCCAGTGACCCTCAGATTATTTCAGCTACTTTGTTGGCAAGTTCTTGGTTACGACATCATCATGTTCAGTGTCCCGAATATCTCATATTCATCCAAATTAAAAATAAATAAAATGAAAAGATAAGAAAATTTTTCTGCATGCAAGTGTATCGTTTGGGAATTGGTTGTTGTGAGGATCAAATATCATCTGTCAGTCAAACTCAAAACCTTTCTCACGTGCGACTGGCACAATTATATGCACAATTATATGCAAAAACTTATCCATATTATTTCACACGTACGACATAATCCTTGGAAAATTTCACCCTTTTTTCCTATAAATTACGTGAACACCCCAACATAAGCCAAATCCTTGTGAAATAATTGGATTCAAACTCTGAATCCGGAAACCAGATTACTTTTGTTCTTCCATCTAAATCTGCTGCTCAAATTCCTTCAGCATCTGAGTTTCTTGATGACTTGCTGCCTTTTATGAGTATATATATTCAACCTTCTTTAGAAAGGAAGAAATTAATAAGATTAACGATCATGAGAAGAAATTGATCCGGGGTTGTAACGTGTAACCGGTGAGTGGTTTCCATGCTGTGCTTGTCAATTGAGCAGTCTTGTTTGCAGTTAACCTTTGATTCGTTGTCTGTTCGACCTTAAAATACTGAAAACCCTAACTAGGCATCCTTGTTTTGCATGAAATTAAAGATTTTATAAATTGATTTTGTTCTTTTTTATCTGCGGTCTTTTCTTTGTATAATTTGTAGAACTGATCATATATGGAGAAATTTGGATTGATTTTTCTTTCTAATTTAGGAATTAAAAAAAAAAAAAAAAAACTCATCTTATCTGGAGAAATTTAATACGGTTGTTTGGATGATTCAAGGTTTAATATTCATAATTTTTCTTCAAATTATAGCTATAGGTTTTTCCATGATCTTGGTAAGTAGAATTTGATCTTTTCGTAAACTTCCCAAGATGAAAGACCTGCAGACTCTGTATAACTGTTCAAATAGACGTAGTTCTCAGGTTGCTTTTACTTATATATATATGGCTATCGAAATTGAGTGACTCTTATGAAGATTTTCAGTGACTATAGTTGAAGTATAAACTAAAGATGAAATCAATTATACAAATAGCAGCAGTTTTAAGAGATAAAAAAAAAACATGAGATATTGCAACCAAAGATGAATTGAGATTTCAGTGTGTGAAGGGGCGATGGTGTATGACTAATTATATATATACAGTAACTTGCCGCCTGCTTTCTAGATGCAATAAAATGGGGGACCATGGAAACTTCCCTAACCAATATTGTTTACCATATAGCAATAAATACTTTATTATGGATTAAAAACATATCATTCTTGCATTCATTTTTATTTATGCATTTGCTGTGTAATTTACGACCTAGAACATCTGCGTATATAAGTTGATATATAATGATATGAAACAAGAAACATTTTCTTTTTCTTGAAAATAAATTTCTATTAATGAAAATAACTTGTAAATCATCAAGATATTCAAAATTCTTAAGGTCGCATAGACAATGAATTTAAGGTATAACAAGCAAGGACCGCTGATTTGCCAAGGCTTTGCATGGAAATCAACACCTTACAGCTTCCGTTAGGTATTGGCAACACAACCATCCCAACAGGAAGAGGACGCAGCTTCAGTATTGCTAATCTATCTTCTTGCTAGTGCATCGATAAGGAAGTATCTCATCTGAAAATTAAACTTTTGCTGCCTCTGTTACAATGTTGAGCAATCATATAGAAGTTAGTGTCTGCGATAATAGAAAACTTTTTATATGTGTTATGTCTCCAACAATACTCTCACGCAAAGGTGCACCATCACATTGTGTTTGAAAAATTCTTATTCTTGAAATATTAGTTAACAACCATGTCATTTTCAGCTATTTGTCCAAAGTTATGGAAATATATATTTTGTGCTTGCAGATCTCAGTAGAATCAAGGTAGATTCATCATATATGATATGACGTTTGATGAGGCAAGAGCCCGATAAAACCACTATTTTAAGGTAATTAAATTATTGAGTGAACTTGTATTCTTCAAATACTTCTGTCAGAGAAGGGTGCCCCTCTTTGTGTTGGCGTATGAATTCTTTTGTAATTCTTCTATTTAATTACAAGTTACTTAATCTAGTGCATAAGATATTGGAGATTTAAGTCAGGATCCAGACCTAATATTGAAATACTCGTTGAAGAGCAATTCAATATAATCCCTCCGCCCCGTTTATAGTGAATGGTTTTGTTTTTCACAAAGATTAAAAAAATATTATTTAATGCTATTGAAAAAACAATTTTTGCCAAACACTTTTCCAATTTACCTTTATTTATATTTGTATAATTTCAAGATTAAGTAGGAAAAATTAGTTATAATTAAGCAAATTAAATAAGGGTATATTAGTAAATGAACAAAACAAAACATTCTCAATAAAGAAATAAGACTATATAATTAAGACAAGAAAATAAAGAGAGTCAACCTATATAAATGGGACGGAGAGAGTATAAGAGAGGTTGGATCAATTTCCTTTTACGTCTAAAGGAGTCAAGATCCAATTTTTGCGGTTCCATTTATCGTGTGATTCCCCACACAGATTTGGACGGGTTTTAGCCTTTATGTCTTTTGGTACTCCCCCATCTTTTCCATGTCGTATATATTGATTGTCAGCCGTTAACTTTATAAGCCAATTACCAAAGTTTTATCCCGAGACAATTACAAATTATTGTTCCCGTATGTGAGATTTTCCGTAGATGGTGTAAAACCTATTGCCACACTTGATTTAGGTAAGGACAAATATCTTGGAAGAATAACCTAGATTTTTGTATTGGAGCTATTTATGTATGTTAACTAATTAATAGATACGTATGGCAAGCGAATTCACGTCATTCAAGATTGTATCGAGCTCCTCTGCTGTTGAAACTGGTTAATGTGGGTGAGTGAACAATTATGAACAAAGAACACAGAGAGATTTGGAGAAGATCCTAAGTACGTAGTTTTCTCAATAGAAGATAATCACGATGTTGGTTTTAACGATCATCTCAAAGCCTTGCCAATAGAAAGACTGGAACGCCCATGAGCTCACATTGATATAGGTTTGCTGATACACCAAACATATTTCAATTCTTGAATTGCTTAATTTTCTTTAATTTTGGGTAGATCATCTATTGTCATCCAAATTCAAACTGGGTATTAGCACATGAATAATCTTTTGGAAATATAATAATCGCTGGTACATATACTACGTAAGATACATGTAAAGTGTTGTCTTTACTTTAATTAGTCACTATAGGGCAACTGGGTACTAATTATGTCACTGAAGGCCGATCATACGGTGCTTTTCTTTGAAAGTTCCAAGTATGTTATCTAGGAGCTAAAGGTACATGGAGGGTGATGAATTCTCTTGTATCTCCCTCAATAATTGCTAGAAATGTAGGGAATTCAACTTCAATTTTCCGTGATAAAAAGCAGCACATGAGAATTCATGATATTAAAGAATCTTCTTATCCTTCAATGATGTACATATGAATTCTAATTTAAAAAAAAAAAAAAAATCATCTTTAATGATCCAAAACGGTCTGATAGGTCAAGCTAAAAAATGAAAATAAACAGTAAAAGTCTCCATGACGTTGAACTTGAAGTTCAATATGGTATTTGTTATTTAGGGTGTGTTTGTCACCCATTATTTGGGAAGAATGTATTATGGAATAGTGATTGATGTTGAAATGTGTGGTTAAAAAAGAAGGAAATTTTTTTGATGTATGTATAATATTATTTTAATGAAAAATGTGTGATTGAAAATGAGTACCGTAGAAAAAATAATATGAAAGAATGAGAGAAAATAGATGACAAATAAGGGCTTATACTAATATTAGCTTTCTTCATTTTATTAACTTTTCTGGTGAGAGTTGATGTATTTCAACTAGTTTGGTCATTTTGACTGAGAAACTATATGTATTGTACTAGCATTATTTCTATGTCGTAAATTAAGCATTAGAATTGCAATTTATACTCTAAATAGTTAAAACAAATTACCAATATTTTTCTTATTTACAACTAACATGCAAAACTCAAAAACTAAGCGGCGCATTCATCTTCGCAAAGTAACATGTATTGGTCATGGAAATAATGCTGCAAAGTACTAGAAACCTAGTTGGTAAAATGTACAGTCTCCATACTTAAGAAGCTCTTGAGTTTGATAAATTCCTTATTATTTTCCACTTTTCTATTCTTTTAAATTTTGGAACTAAATAATGGGTCAAAAATAAAAGCCAAGATGTTAATTACCATTTTAAAAGTTAACAAAACAATTTGTAAAATGTCGCGTGGCCTAACGAGTAATTTCCTATAAAGCAGGAGGTAAAATAAAAATAAATAAATAAATAAATAAAATAGACAGAGAATTGGCGTGCAGGTGACACAATAAAAAGTTAAGAGTAAACATGTGAATTTGAGTAAATGGAATATGGATCTCTATCTTTAATTTCGATGTTGTCTTCCTACCATCAACCAGAATTAGCTCCATTCAACATAGGACCAGGATACTATTTTCGTAAACAGATCAGGAGATTGGACTCTACATCTAATAAATATTAACGTGTCAACAAATATAATTCAACACGTATCACAAGATCAATTAAAACTTAATGCACTTAATATGTAGTTAGGTTTTAAACAAAAAGGATTATTATAAAAGAGTTGAAAAAGTCAATAAGTCTTTTGGGATGTTGTATAGATGAACTAGTTTAGGTTCGAGAGTGGAACACGGAGAATGAGTCATGGGAATTATGCTAAACTGTCGCCAAGTTGATGCTCATCATCCAAAAGAGTATCATTATCGCTTGAGCAACACACCTGTCGCTCGCCTGGCGTTAGCTTGGCTGCTCGAGCGACAATTTTTTCGAGAAACCCTAGTTCGTGATTTTCAAGAGTTTTATCTATCATTTACTACCATAATACCTCTCTACAATAAATACACTAGCTTCACTTCATGAAAACGATGGTTGATTGTTATCTTCTACCTTCATAACATCATCTGGAGATCAAACAACAATTCTACATCTTGAGATCAATTAACTACGAGTTGGAAAAAAATCAAAATCATATAATATAAAACACCTACATCCTAAGGATAATTAGGAAAGCACTTTCTCAATAGCTTTCAGATATTACTGAAAATTGATGGAGGTTGGACCAGAAATACAGGAAGAATACAAGAATAAGATGTTCTTGGTAGTCTACGGAAGATAGACAATTTTAGAAGATCAAAAGCAACTGTGAGTGAAGTACGTTCCAACAGATCTTGGAGGTTGTAGGAATTAGATGAGCTAGTCTAGTGGGTTTTTCTAGATTGGATCATACTATAAGTTCTTAGTCTCTATAGTGGAAGTCACTGATTTGGTTTCAGAGTTTTTAATCCTATGAAAGATTTTCCCCATCAACAAATCTTGTGTTATTTACTGTTTTATTTACTCTAGTGGCAATTCAACATATGATAAAATTGACTTGATTAACTAAACATTTAGAACAATTAAAATGTGACTTAGTGCTTTTAATTGGTAATTTAAATTCCACATTATTCACCTATTCATTCCCTTTAGGTGAATTTTAGGTCGTATTAGTAACTTTCACATATATTTGATGAACAATTACACTAGCACAAAAAATATTTGAATATTCCTTTAAGGATAAGCATATTCATAAAATTCGCATGCTGAATAGATTGATTTTATGATTTTCTTCAAGAATTATATATTTAAAGTATTTGAATATTAAAGTTTTGCTTCTTCGAAAGTAATTATACAATATTTTTATAGAATATTAATATGCTTCTTCAGAAATAATAATATAATACTTTTAATAAAGACCAATGAAAAATCTTTTATATATTTATGAACGTATATCAAGAATGTAATATTAAAATAAAATAAATTATTATATGTGCCTTTCAATAGTAAATACCATTGTATGCTTCATATGTCGAAATTATAAATTGATAGAAATGAATAGTTGACATGTAAAAATTATGAATTGTGTGAAATATAAGGTTAAAAATAAAATTTGTCTTCGACCTTTAAATTAAATGAAACTATAATGAAAATAAAACAAACACATTTTAGAAAATTGACATATGCACAAATCTTAGACGCAAGAGGTAAAATTGACTGATGGGACCTTGATGATCTACATCTAGCAAACATTGATAATTCATATATGTAATGAATTTATTTTCTCTCTCATATGGCAAGTACCATCAAAATTTAATTTAAACTTTTCAAAATTCTAATTTATTTCTTTTGAATATATAATTATTTTGCCAATGTAATTATAGGATGCTTGTGCTGATTACGTGTTATAATATTGAGAGAATAATAGTACAAGAAAAATATAGAGAGTAGAAACTTAAGCGTTACAATTGAATGAAATAGGGTTAAGTAGGAAAATTATATATACATTTAAATAAAAACAAATAGTCACTCGTCATGATTAATAATTTTACGACATTGACATAGTTGTCAACTTAGAACAACTCCATCTTTCTACATTATTTTTTCTAAGTTTATGTTCTGAGAAGCGATTTATTATACTTTCATCAAACATGTAGCATTATATGATCTTTGTAGTTAAAATCATATAATTACACTGAGAGACATGGTCATCGAGTGACATCCCACGAGGTCAACAGTTTACAGTTCTGGTTTGAGTTCCATTTTTCCAAAAATTGCATTTTTTAAAAATATATTTTCAAACACACATTCTCGTATAAAATGTTCCACATAAATTCAGAACTTATCTTTATTTTTTAACCGCACATTTAAAAAAAAAAAATTCAAAACACAATTTTTTATTGTTTATTTTTATTGTTATTTATTTATTTTTTATTTTTTTCAAAATCTCATTTTAATAGATTACAAATAAGGTATATTCAATCCATCACTAGAGAAACTTTACTCGACAAACCTTTGTCAGAAGGGGGAAGATTACATAGTCAATCCAACATCATTAACAAGAGAAATTTTATTCGACAAGCGTGGGCCAATGTTGTACACATACGTGTGTCATATGTCATATGTACCACAACAAAAAAGGACTAGTGAAAAACTCAAGATGGATCCCTACACTTTTGAACTCTTAAAGCAAATATTGTAATGGCATTACATGGCGTGGGGGGTTGGTAAGGTTGGGATTTATATGGTTTGGTGGAATAATTTAATTCGGGGTGGTAGTTGGTGCACACACTGGAGTAAAATCTTTCAACACTAACAACCTTAAAGGAACAATTTTTTCCATTGTTTATCGACTCCTAAAATTGTGATGCATATTCACCAAACATGCTATTTAACCTTTAATTACCAGCAATCAGCTCTTATTGTTGGTGGTTAAGGGTGAGTTTCTTTCTCGTCTTGTCCAAAGGGAGGTTGGGGTTTGCCTTCATCAGGTTTTGAAGTTCAGTTGTTCGAGGGGACTTTGCCAAGGAATTTTACACAAAACTAGTTGAACCTAGTCTACAACAGGATATATAAAGAAATTACTCTATGGAACAAGAAAACTGCTTCTTATGGTTAGAGACATAATTTTAAGAGGATCTCCCATAGAAAGAAAGTGAGTCAGGGAATACCCCCAAACCAAGAACGGACATGGAAGACTTTCGATTCGCTTTCCATTCTCTTAAATATGGGGATGTCGTCAGGTCCGCATGATCTTTTTGGACTGACCTTGGGAGATAGATGCTAAATATGGGTAGGAAGCAGGAACCTCTATGTAAATAATTTTATCACCACACCTTCTGTTGAAAAAATTAACCTTAAGTTGTGATATACATTTATCACAATCGATAAAAGTATGCACATCATCTGTCCTAAAAAACAGCAAACAACTCCCAAGTCAATTTTAGTCGAATAAACCTGCTTTCTTAAACAACTATTTCATTCTCGCGCTAGGGTCTAAACAAGGACAAGGTCCCCAACCCTTTACGAAACAACAAGGAGGATTAGAGTGCACACATTAGAAATCAAACCAGCAACAAGAATAGCAACGCTTATAACGGAGGGAAGCCCAGTAAATTAATAAAAGGGTAAAACCAAGAACATTTCAGACATGCGATCTTGTTTTGGGGAGCGCTTCATCAAACAGACATGCACCATCGGAGCTTGAACCAAAATGGAAAGGACTGTGTGAAGAGGTAAAACCGCCTGGTAAGAGAGCATATGTTTTCAAGATGCCGAGGGCAAGCAACTTAGTCGACCTCGGAACGTGAAAAGCTCAAGAAATATTATGAGTAGCGTTAGAACTGTTTTAGTTAGAGCATACATTTAGGACGTCTATATTGTCGAGTCTGTACAGTTGTTTATTATCATTCGGTGAAAAGTTGGGTAGCGCAAATGATGAGGGTGATAAGGAAACGCTAGTCTAGTTGGGATGTCCCGTTGAATCTACTGAGCTTGCCACTTCCAACTTGCTTTTCGCTTCAAAGTCATGTCATACCCTTATTGATCCATGAAGTACCCTACAATAATAAGACTCCACCTTGACGGT